AAAAAAAAAAACATCCACTAGAAAGCAGAAGAGGGAAATTAGAGTTGGTGGAACTAGAAACACAGTATTTTTAATGATCTAATATATAAACACATTCATTATAAATTAACTCTGAAATGTTGTTTGGTGTGCTACATGTAAAAGTATAGTTTATTCAGATACTACTGGCAGACTGATTGAATATACATGTGAACCTTTTACCATTTTGATAGAAAGTGAGCCAAGCTATAAGATTTTAGGAGTCTAACATCTCTTTATTTTCTCAGTTTATGAGGAGAAACTATGAGCATTATGGTAAAATAGTTCTTACGTTTTCAGGATAAAACATCTTTTATTGAGTGTAACAAATAAACACAGCACCCATTTTTAGAAAAGGGATTAAAAAAAAAAAAACCGTCAAAGTAAAACATCCCCAACCCTTACCAAGAAAAAACAACTTGTCACATACCATATTTGTTGCATGGATGTTTGTTTAAAACAGTCTCGTTTTCTACACAGTTACTGCCAACATTTTCTACTTTTGTCATTTCTTTTTTATTACCCTCATTGAAAACGAGAGGTTTATCAAAATGGAAACAAACTTCTCTACACTTTCAAGTGTTGTTTTTGATGTGGTATTTACTATAAGTATTTGAGTACTTTCAAGCGCAGACAATTGACTTTGCCTTTGCTCCAACAGAAAAAGGATACTTAAGCCACAGCTGGAAGAGGTCTCATACAATGGAATATTATTCAGCCTCAAAAAGGAATGAAATTCTGACACATGCTACAACATGGATGAACCTTGAAGACATTTAGCTAAGTAAGTGAGACAGAAGGCCAAATACTGTATGGTTCCACATGTGTGAGAGACCTAGAATAGGCGAATTCAAAGAGACGTAAAGTAGAACAGAGGTTACCAGGGGTTGAAGGAGGGGGATAGGGAGTTATTGTTTAATGGGTACCGTAAAATTTGTTGGGGATGATGATGAAAAAGTTATAAATAGAGTGATGACTGGTTATGTACCATTGTGAGTGTACTTCCTGCCACTGAATTATACAATTACGAATGGCTAAAAGATAACTATTACGTTACACATATTTTTCCACACGAAGATTTTTCTCAAAAAGGCAAGAATGCTGCCGAGGTCTTACAACTGAGGGAAAGAAAGTTCTAGCCTCTATTACTGGACCTAATATCTCAATATGTTCTGATTCAACAAATTCAGAAAATTCCTATGTGGGCTTTTTTTTTTCATGCATTGGGTTCATTCAGTCAATAAATACTTAAAAGTCATGGTATGTCGTGTCAGTCTGAGGGACTAGAGGGATGAGTAAGGGAGGTCTCCAGCCTGCAGGATGTGGGAGAGACAGCTGCATTCATAAATGGTTAACAAACAGCATTAGGGCTGCAGTAGAATTATACTGGAGTAGTGGGAACACAGGAGAGGAGATTCCTGAGGGGATCAGGGCTTCATAGAAGAGTTAATAATTGACCTGGGTTTGAACTTTTAGAAGGAATTGGGTTGCTTTTTGTATTGCAGTATTATGTAGTACATTGTCACTCACATTGTCTGTCTTGGAATCTTGGATCTAAAATATTTGCAGCCTTTTTCAAATACTTTGTAATTTTTCCTTCTGTGTCTAAGCAAACTAGTCTCTGGAGGCAGGAAAACGTCTTGGTTCCTTCTCTGTCCTGCTTTCTAAATATTTATAAGTAAAACCACTTTGAGAAATAATTCAAAGTAAACGAGACATGCTTGGATCCCTCAAAGAACTTGCGGTCTAACGGGGAGATGAGGCAAAGACAGCTGGGCAGTAAATGCCTTAAGAAATAGTCAATGTGGGATGGCCGTGCAGAGGCCGGAGAAATGACTTCTGGGGAGTGGAGAAAAGCTTCACGGCTGAGGAGGGTCTTTGTGTTTTCCTCTTAAGGCTGTGTAGAATTTTGACAACTAGATGTGCATCAGGTCTTTTCCTTCAGATAGAAAGATATGAGCAAAAGCAGGCAAGAAATGTTAGCCCTACTCAGGGGAGCAGTGAAAAAGCCAGCCAGAAAGCCCCGTTGGGGCCGGGTTACAAGGATCTCCAAACTTTCAGTGCTCCGCTTATTTCTCAGAATCCAAGAACAATGATTTGTTATTGGGTAGATTTAGGAGACAAAGGCCAGAGTTTTCCCACTTGTACACATGTGCAGGGGATGGTAGAGAATACAGGAGAGCAAAAGCGGTGATCCGAAGGTACTGCCTGGGCATCGGGCTCACAGGAGGAGTGGGGATAGACTGAACTAGAGGCATGATGTGGTGAAAAGAAGAACATGTTTTGGAGTCATTGGGTCCTGGTTTCAAATCCCATATTCAGAATTTTCTAACTGTGCGAACTGGGCCGAATTGTTAGAACCTCTGAGCCTCATTCTCCTTGTGTGACCAATGAGGACAATAATGCTATCCTTGTATAGGGTTATCCCGAAGATTAGGGAGGATGGGGTGACAGACATATGTAGACGGCCCTCAAAGGTACCAATGTTAGTTCCTTCCCCAGGTGATCTCTAAAGTCCCATCTGAAACCAGAATGTGGGTGAAATAATTTAGAAGTTTTTCCTTCTTTTTCCCTGCACAATTGAAGAAGTTAGAAAGTGGTGTCTTTTTGTCAGATCTAAAATAAGGTCGCACCAACTCCTTTTCCTAATCAGAGCTCTAAGCTAGGTTTACCCTGTGCAGTGTATCCTTCGGCTAAAGTGACTACAGGCAATACTTGAAAGTATGAATGCACATTTGAAAACATCTACCAGACTTTCAAGTTGCAGATAGTCTAGATTGTGGTACCTCCCCTTGTGTCCCTACTTCATAACTGTCACTTCACAGAATTCTTTTTTTCTAATTATTTTTCAGGTGAACCTCTTAGGTCTTCTATTTTACAGTAACGTTATCTGTAAATGAGGTCGTCTCTTCCGACTGTTGTATCCTTATTTGTGTCTCCTTTTTTTTTTTGAAGTCTTAAAATGTTTTCTCATTTTTTTTTTCTCTTTCTGTTTTTTTTTTTTTAACAAATTGACACTGTGTACAAAGAATTCAAGTGGCCAGTAAAACTACTGCTTTAAAATTGTTGGCTTTATGTAACAGAGTGTATAGTTGGAATTCACATCAGAGCTTTCCAAAATGGCAATAGTACAAGCATATGACTTTCTCTAGTATCCAAAACCTGTTCTGGCTTTCATTTGGCTAAGGAATAGAAAACTAGACAGCCTTCTAAAGCTGCCACAGTTTCCTAAAATGCTTTGATAAAAGTGGGCATGCTTCAGTTCTCTTGCTTACCCTGATAACACTGGACTAAACAGAAAATGAAGAAAATTTAGTCAGTAGTAACTTAAGCGGTAGCTAGCTCGCTCTGGATAAATTTGTCAGGATGATGGTGGTAGTGGGCATTAACAGGTGGTAATGGGAAGACCTCGAGTATTTCAACATTTAATATGACATTGATAGTTTGAATCCCATAGCTCTGTTGTCACATCTTTCCTGTTACGTGGCTCACATCATATAGACACTTTTGGGGAAATGTCTTTTCCCCATTGAACTATGAGCTCAGTGGGGGCGGGAGGGGGTGGGTCCCTTCTTACTCAGCTCCATATTCATGGGTTTAGCACTGAGCCTGAACATAACATATGTGTAGATATTTATGGGAGGCATGAATAAGAACCTTAATTTATCAGGGCTCAATAAAAAGAGCCTGAGGACAATAATGTCCAATAGGGAATTATGAATGTCTTTTCAGAATTTCAAAGAGCATTCACTGTTCAGCTGTCTTCCTAAAAAATGTTTCATTTAAAATTAATATCTTGAATACTTGTCCTTTTTTTTTTTTCTTTTTTTTTTTTTTTGCGGTATGCAGGCCTCTCACTGCTGTGGCCTCTCCCGTTGTGGAGCACAGGCTCCGGACGCGCAGGCTCAGCGGCCATGGCCCACGGGCCCAGCCGCTCTGCAGCACGTGGGATCTTCCCGGACCGGGGCACGAACCCGTGTCCCCTGCATCGGCAGGCGGACTCTCAACCACTGCGCCACCAGGGGAGCCCAATACTTGTCTTTTTTAAAATAATTTTTATGTAAGGAAGCAGGAAGGAGATACAATTTAAAGCCCTAGTCTACTTGTAATTAAAGAAGGGAAGCCCAAATTCTCTCTAAACTGTTGGTCCAAGCGTGAATTCTTTAATTCCTTTTCTAACGTGTATGTATTCCAGAAAACATACAAATAAGTAAACCCAGGAATTAATAATATTAATTGGCTACTTTGTTCCTATGCATGAGGACACAAAACAACGGTAAAATTTATGTTGATTACATTTGGATGTCATATCATCTTGGTATTTTCAAATACTGTCTATCTATTCTAATGCTGTATAATCTCCTTTTCTTAGTACTTTCCACTTTACGATTTTTATATATTCCTGTTTGAAATAACATTTTGTCTCAATGTCACTCATGCATTTATTTAATCATTTAAAAATGATGGTCTGTGAGATGGGACTGAATAATGTGAAAAATATTTCTTAAGGAAGAATGAAAATATATCAAAGAACAATTTGCAAAACCAATATGGTAGAAGTCATATTTATTGAAAAAAATTAATATCTTTCTTTGCTATAAAATTTGTAACAGGAATATTTACTAAATGTTTATTTTTGATGCAGAAACCTGAATTTTATACCAAGTACAGGACAGTAGCACTAGTTTTTCTTTTATTTACATTTTATGAAAATTGTTATGCAGTCCATGTTAAAAGAACTTATGATGGAGAACTGTGTTACATTAGAAAAATAATATTCTTGGTAAAGCATTCTCAAGGAGTACAATCACATCTTCTGCCTCTTCAATGAGGCAGAAGTCCCTATAACAGCATATAACTTAATTTACAAAATACAGTAACTGTTCAGACACATATTCAAGTTTTCTTTTGGTATGATTTATTTTCCTCACTGTAAAATTACTTTCTCTCTCTCTCTCTCTCTCTCTCTCTCTTTTTTTTTTTTTTTTTTTTTTTTTTTTTTTATACTAAAACAAACAGAAAGACTTTCAGGAAAATGTCATTGAATGATTTCAGCTATAGATTACATATACAACAACTCTGTAGCCTAGCAACAACCATTGCCACACCATCATTAACTTTAAATATTTTACTTGGTGAGCTATTCTCAGACGTAGCACATTTTAAGGTTTTGCCATCATGACTGTGGAATCGTTGGTTTTCGTAGCAAACAGATCTGTCACAGTATGAAGCTTTGTTTGTTTTAGGGAACTGGTACACAATTACATTTCCACTCACAAGAGAACGCCACAGATGTAAACTAAAGTCAGGCTCTGATGGCTCCATAAAGGTCCTGCGCTGGACCAGCCCCAAACCTCCTGGGCTCACACTGCACAGCCCTGGCTGGGTTCAGGCAGTTTCATATCCAGAGACTTTGCTGCTCTTCACAGTTAGGTAGTTTTAATTCCTTCAAAGGCACACAACTTCCACCTTTTTTCCAGCGTTGCTCCCACGCCTGTGAATTCCTGTTTAAACATGCGTGGCAACCTCATCAGAAGCATTTCGATTTCGTTTGCAGATATCTGTTTGTTAGAAAGGAAGAAAAGTCACTTTTGGGAAACAAGGAGGCAGGGGGTTGAGTGAGGACATGCTTTCCCAATGAGACAAACATGTAGTTTCCTAGTAGGCTGTAAAGTAATGTTCTTAGAAAAGGAGCACAGGTTAAAGGGCTGAATGTGATTAACTTCATCATCTCCTGGGCAGCTGGTGGGAGGGGGGGTATGAGACAAGTGGGTGGAAAGTTTCCGGTTCACCCTTCAAATGGATGGCTACCTTATCGCCAGCACCATGCCTGAACAGCCCTCCCTAGATAAAAAAGGAGATGGGGCGGGATTTAAGATGGCTCAGAGCAAACTGATCACCACTTGGGGAAAGCTACCACTCCTCTGATACAAAGGGCAGTACTTTTATCTAACTTGGTGAGGGCCAGAGGGCATGTCGGTGGATTTCTTGCCACCCTAACTTTCTCTTAACTTTCACAGGGACCAGAAGACCATAATGGTTTAGGAATAAAAATGAAACCCAGCACCCACAGCAATAAAAGTCTCAAGGCCCATCCAGTCATAAAACCCAGGTGGGTTTTTTAAATGCAGTTTTTTTTCTTCTCCCAACTTTTATTACATATATTTTTATACCAGGAATTCATTTTTTCTTAAATAAAGAACAAAACAACCACAACCCTTTTACTCTAATGCAGCCATTGCTCTTTTTTTTTCTGGGTTTGCATCCTAATCCATGCATATATGCAGGGATCTCAACTAGCAAGTTGACTGAGAGCCTGGAAACGGAGGTCTGACATTTCTGTTTAAATTCCATATCACACTATTGTTATGATCCAAATGACCCTACCAAGATGATAGTTTCTCTAAGTAAGTCTCAACAGGTGGGGATGACAACATTTAGTAAGGATGTGTGAAGACTACTGTCTTAGCACAGACTTGGGCACATAGAAGTGTTCAGTGAATAAGACCTCATTATTTTTCATGGTACAATCACTGTATGGATATCATTTTACAGTCTATAGTTTACTTTCCATTTAACGATTAAGAGAGACCAGGGACTTCCCTGGTGGTCCAGTGGTTAAGACTCTGCACTTCCAATGCAGGGGGTGTGGGTTCGACCCCTGGTCAGGGAACAAGGATCCCACACACATGCCATGTGGCCAAAAAAAAACCAAAAACAAACAGCAACCAATTAAGAGAGACCAAACAAACAACAGATACCAGAGAAATACAAAAAAAAAAAACGTAATAAAAGAATACTATGAACAATTATATACCAACAAATTGGACAACCTAGAAGAAATGGACAAGTTTCTAGAAACATACAACCCACCAAAACTGAATCAAGAAGAAACAGATATTTTGAACAGACTGACCACTAGAAATGAAATAGAACCTGTAATTAAAAAAGAAAAAAAAAGCCTCCCTGCAAACAAAAGTCCAGGACCAGATGGCTTCACTGGGCAGTTCTACCAAACAAACATACAAAGAAGAACTTCTACTGATCCTTCTCAGACTCTTCCAAAAGACTAAAGAAGGAACACTCCCAAAGTCATTCTGTGAAGCCACCATCACCCTGATACCAAAACCAGACAAAGACTATATAAAAAAAGAAAATTACAGGCCAATATCTTCGATGAATATAGATGCAAAAATTCTCAACAAAATACTAGCAAACTGGGTCAGAAGACTAGATACCTAGGATGGCAAGGTGAGAAGGACTCATCTTGCCGTGGCTGGCTTTGAAGACAGAGGCAGGGAGCCACGATTCAAGGAACACAGACAGCTTCTAGAAGCTGGACAAGGACTCCTGCCAGTGTTGCTGAGGCATCGTGCATCACTCAGAATCCCAGCGGTCACCCAGCTGGTGCTGAAGGAAGTTCTGTTATGGATGCACAATTAAGACTTCCTTATTGCTACTGTGAAGGGGTGCTGTTGAGCCTGTTGATGTGGCACTGGTTTGTAAAAAAATCTATCAGTCAGTAATTTAAGAGTACGTACATCATGAAGATGGCAGAATAGAAGGACCCTGAGCTCACCTCCTGACATGAGCACACCTAAGTCACAACTAGCTGCTGAACAACCACTGATGAAAAGACTGGAACCTACCAAAAGAGAGATTCTAATCCAAAGACATAAAGAAGAAACTCAGTGGATGGTAGAAGGGGCACACTTGCGAAATAATCAAATCCCATATCCCCTGGGTGGGCGACCCACAAACCGGAGAACAGTCACAGGAGTGAGAGTTCTGAGCTCCATGTCAGACTCCCCAGCCTGGGGGTCTGGCATTGGGAGGAGGACTTCCGGGAGCATTTGGCTTTGAAGGCCAGTGGGGCTTGAGTGCAGGAGCTCCACAGGACCAGAGGAAACAGAGACCCCATTCTTGGAGGGCCCACACGATTTCTTGTGTGCACCAAGACCCAGGGCAAAAGCAGTGACTCCATGGGAGCCTGGGTCAGACCTACCTGCCGGTCTCGGAGGGTCTCCTCGGGAGGCAGCTGTGGCTCACTGTGGGGACAAGGACACTGGTGGAAGAGGTACTGGGGAATATTCATTGGCGTGAGCTCTCCTGGAGGCTGCCATTTTGGCACCAAGACCTGGCCCCAACCGCCTGTAGGCTTCAGTGCTGGGACGCCTCAGGTGAAATGACCAACATGGTGGGAACAGAGCCCCACCCGCCAGTGGACAGGCTGCCTAAAGACTTCCTAATCCCACAGCCACCTCTAGACATGCCCCTTGACATGGTCCTGCCCAGCAGAGGGCCAAGACCTAGCCCCACCCACCACCAGTGGGCAAGCATCAGCCCTTCCCACCACGAAGCCCGCACAAGCCTCTAGGCCAGCCCCACCCACCAGGGGGCAGACATTAGAAGCACGAGAACTAGGATCCAGCAGCGTGCGGAACCAAGTCAGCAAACGCAGATCAGAACCTACCCTGGGACCAGCTGGTCCCCTGGCCCTTGGGTGACAAGAAGGGAGTGTATTGCTGGGACACATAGGACATCCCCCACAGAGGGCCACTTCTCCAAGGTTAAGAAACGTAACTAACCTTCCACATACATAAACATACAAATAGAAATTTAGACAAAATGAGATGGCAGAGGAATATGTTTCAGATGAAGGAAAAACATAAAACCCCAGAAGAACAACTAAGTGACATGGAGATAGGCAATCTACCCGAGAAAGAATTTAGAATAATGATTGCAAGGATGAGCCAAGAACTCAGGAAAAGAATGGATGCACAGAGCAGGAGGTTTTTTTTGTTTTTTGTTTTTGCAGTACGTGGGCCTCTCACTGCTGTGGCCTCCCCCCGCCGCGGAGCACAGGCCCCGGACGTGCAGGCTCAGTGGCCATGGCCCACAGGCCCAGCCGCTCCATGGCACGTGGGATCCTCCTGGACCGGGGGCACGAACCCATGCCCCCTGCATCAGCAGGCGGACTCCCAACCACTGCGCCACCAGGGAAGCCCAAGAGAAGTTACAAGTTTTTAATAAAGACTTAGAAAATGTAAAGAGCAACCAAACAGAGTTGAAGAATACAATAACTGAAATGAAAAACAAACACTAGAAGGAATCAATAGCAGGATAAATGAGGCGGAAGAATGGGTAAGTGAGCTGGAAGGACACAGTGGTGGAAATCATTGCCACAGAGAAGAATAAAGACAAGATAATGAAAAGAAATGAGGACAGTTTAAGAGACCTCTGGTACAGCATCAAATGCACCAACATTCGCATTATAGGGGTCCCAGAAGGAGAGGAGAGAGAAGGGGCCTGAGAAGATATTTGAAGCGATAAAAGCTGAAAACTTCCCTAACATGGGAAAGGAAACAGTCACCCAAGTCCAGGAAGAGAGTCTCAGGCATGCCAAGAAACATAATCAAATTGACAAAAATTAAAGACAAAGAAAAAATATTAAATTGACAAGAGAAAAACAACAAATAACATACAAAGGAATCCCCATAAGGTTATCAGCTGATTTTTCAGCAGAAACGTTACAGGCCAGAAGGGAGTGTGGCACAATAGAATTAATGTGATGAAAGGGAGAAACCTACAACCAAGAATACTCTACCCAGCAAGGCTCTCATTCAGATTTGACAGAGGAATCCAAAGCTTTACAGTCACGCAAACGCTAGAAGAAATTAGCACCACCAAAGGAGCTTTACAAGAAATGCTAAAGGAACTTCTCCAGGTGGAAAGGAAAATGCCACAACTAGAAACAAGAAAATTACAAAATGGGAAAGCTCACTGGTAATGGCAAACATACAGTAAAGGTAGGAAATCATCTCCACACAAATATGATATCTAAGCCAGTAATCATGAGAAGAGTACAAATGCAGGATATTTGAAACACATTTGGAATGAAGAGATCAGCGACTTAAAACAATTACGTACATATATATAGACTACTATATCAAAACCTCATGGTAACTGCAAACAAAAAAATCTATAGTAGATACACACACAGAAAAGATAAAGGAGTCCAAACACAAACACTAAAGACAGTCATCAGATCACAAGAGAACAAAAGAAGAAAGGAAGAAAAAAGACCTAAGACCTATGTATCAACATACATGTTGATAACTACCATATGTAAACGAATTAAATGTCCCAACCAAAAGACACAGACTGGCTGAATGAATACAAAAACAAGATCTGTATATGAGCTGTCTACAAGAGATCCACTTCTCAGACCTAGAGAGAGACACACGCAGACTGAAAGTGAGGGGAGGGAATAAAAGGTATTCCCAAATGGAAATCAGAAGAAAGCTGGAGTAGCAATACTCACAGAAGACAAAATAGAGTTTAAAATAAATACTGTTACAAGAAACAAAGAAGGGCACTACACAGGGATCAAGGGATCAATCCAAGAAGAAGATATAACAATTGTAAATATGTATGCACCCAACATAGAAGCACCTCAATATATAAGGCAAATACTAACAGTCATAAAAAGAGAAATCAAAGTAACAGTGGGGGACTTTTCATCAATGGACAGATCATCCAGACAGAAAGTCAATAAGGA